TATGGATATATAAGATTGTGAAGAATATGCTATTAGAAGAGTTAGTGAAAAATCATTTAGTAAGCCCTCCCTGTCAATCTATGGAATGATATTTTGTCCTATGTTCTTGGTATCAAATGGGATCAAAACCTGTGTTTTCATATAATGTGTAATGCTGAATCAAGTTATTACAGTCAGACCCTTCAGCTGTAGGTATTTTCTGTTTAAGAAACTCCTTAAGCTGCCTATCAGTGTGGCCAACTTGTAAGAAGTAAGGATGGCATAAAAGGTTTATGGCAAGATGAGACAAGATGTAATCACGACCTTGAAATTGCACTGTCTCCACCACTGACCCAGACTGTCTCATAACCAAATTCTGCTATAGCAGATTATTAAATATCCAAATTGCTATTTCATATTTGTTCCTGACATGATACAATTTTTCCCTATGTCAGGAGTTACCTCCCTCTGACCATTTTTTATGCTGGCAACATGTGACCTGTCTGCTGGTCTCTGCTGGCAGTACATCTGACTGGCTGGAATGAGAAGACTGTAGCTTAGTATAGCTTTCACATACTGAAAACTAGGCTTCCAACTCACACAGGAAGCTTGGTTTGTAAAACTGTGTGGATCATTAGGGAAATCCATAAAGTTTCTACCCTCTTTGGAAGGACTGGTAATGTGTTTCTAGATCCTAAAATAGCAAGACACCTATCATGATCTTATAGCAGCCATCACGCCTACAAGTTATCTAGCTTGCCCCCTTCCCTTTCACCCATCTCCAAGGGATCATTCTTATACTATTTATAACTATAAGCTGATTTAAATTTATTTTGTAGGAGGGCATTTAATGATATGCTTTACATATGTTTTCTCAATAGCAGTATTGGCCATTATGAAGGTACTAGTGTGGTATATGACAGAAACTGAAAGTAAGATTAAAAGAAAAGCAATTTGCAGTAACATTAACCAAGCTGAATGTAAAACCTATCTCATTCAGGAAATATGTTCAGTAAGAGCAGCAGGAGTCTCCCCTTTTGCATGTGTTGATTGATTGCGATTGCTTCGTTCAACCCTTACAGTGAGCATGTTGTAAAATACTTTGTGTATATGCGTGTGCATATTATACTGCATTTTTCTGACATACGTTTACACATGAACACGTACTGCCCAGAAGAAAAAACAAACATGAATGCTTATCTTTATTCGTATCTAGTTACATGCTAACAATATAAAGAAAACATTTTATGCAGCATATGTTTTCTACAGACTTCTAAAACTGTGAAATAGTTGTCTTCAGCAGCACTAAGGTGTAAGGATAATTTTTTTATTTCAAGTGTTTAGCCTTTCAAAGTTTCCCTAAAACTTTGACTCTGTAGTTACCTAAAGTTTTCCTTCTTAGGTTTTGTTCATCCACGGCAGCCCAAAGTCTTATTAATACTAAACCAGAAACATTATTTTTGTGTTCCTATGGGCTGTCTTTTATAGTGGCCAGAATTGGGACTTTCTTGTTGGTAGAAGCCACTTTGGTGTTCCACATATTTGGAAGTATGATGGTCATTAATGACATATGGCTCTTTGGCAATGGCTGATGTAAGGTAAGGCTCAACCAGTCACTCGTCTCCTAGCTGCTCACATATACCAAGCAGACTGAAGCAATTTACATGATAGCAAAGAGCAATGAGGAAAGGAGAATTTGTCTCCAATCCTGAATTGAGTACAAAGGCACTTTTCCTCCTTCCTGCATCCATCCCACCCCATCCCATGCACATCTGAGTATGGGGTAGCCACACACTCACACATGCCTCATTCGGGAGCTTGATACCCTCTTTTTCAAGCTGCCTACAAGTGGTGATAGTTTCCCAGTCTGGTAACTGCTGAGTTTGTGCTTTTTTTAGGCAAGACCAGTTGCCTTCCATGTGTTAAGCCCAACTTGTGTTCGTGGTTCCTTTCAAGACAAATTTTTGCTTTAGTAAAAGGGGTATGGAGATGTGACCAGAGGAGGCATGGCCAGCTTTAATCTACCATAAGCTCGCAGAAGAGTCATGTGAATTTTTCTCAAGGATGAAGAGCGTTGAAATTGGTCCGCAGGATGAAAAGACTTCAGAGTATAATGTTCTTAATTGTTTTCAGAAAGGGGAAATTGAGCTTCAAAATGTTCAAAAGGAAGTAAGCCTTTTAAGTGATTCTAAATCACTGGGGTGCTTTAAAAAATAATTTCACTGTAACTTGAATTTTAATTGCCTGCCCCTTTTTCTTATTGTCATATTGTCATCCCCTGTTTTCCTGGAAGAGAGTGTTGTTATTGCTGTTTATTTAAGAAATCTACTGGAATTTGTCCTGCAGTGCAGCAAAATTTCAGGGATGGATACGTTTTAATATTCTATATTATGAATATTTTTTATATCTTTATAATTAAAAAAAAGAAGTTTTAATGACTGCTCTCCTATAAACCCTGGACTGCTGCATTTCCAACATAAGAAGCTGAGGACAGACAATGCCAGGTGCAGCCAGAATGTTGCTGCAGCCCCACAACGTATCATTTTTTAACATTGTTCAAATTAGCTGCAACACTCATAATTCTGTTGTTTTCTTTATTGCTGTTGTAAAGCAAATGGTTCTTTTATACAAATGTTATCTCCTGGCTATTAATTCAGCAGTTATTTTGGATTATGGCACTCATGCTAAATTTAAGAATGCAAAACCTCATAAATATTTAAAAGTTTCAGACTGACATGGGAAGAAATTGTTTTTGACTTGCTTTGTTAATATTCTGTTGTTCAGTTTGGAATATATTCTCCACTGTTTGACAAAGGGAAAAAACTGTAGTTGAGCAACTGCTTCAAGTGTTTTCCCTTGAATTATACAGCCTGGTAAGTGTTTGTTTCCAGTAAAAAATAGCAAGAAAAAGATCTGTTTTCCTTCAAGAGGACAAAAAACATGAAAATTTTAATCAGAGCTCACTTCAAAGTTAATGAAAATGCAGCAGTAGGTTTGTAAAGATAGTGTCGATAAAACAATTTCAAGTAGGTCTACTTACAATCAAGTGCTTCTGTTTCAGCATCTTTGTCATTTAAACTTCTCTCTAAGGAACAAATGAGTAAGATGGACAAATGTGTTTCTTCCCTCAGAGACATTTTATAGAGAGTGTATTTACTATGCAATGAGTGTATTCATAGAATAAATATTAGTATGCATCTTGAGTAACCCCCAAAGCTCTGAAGAATAACTGAATGATAAAGAAGTCACAATTTTTGTAAGACCGCTGAAGGTCTGGACAGCACAGTCTCTGGGCCAGTGTTCCTGTATCACACCTAACCGTATTTTCTTTCTTTCTTTACCTCAGAAGTAAATACATAGCTTTTCAGCTAGATCTTAAAGGTTGTTAAGGTGTAACTCCTGTTGGGATCATCTAGAAGTATTTCAAATGTTTCAATAATTATTCAAAATAAGATGCTGAATTGATTCAACCTGGATAAGTACTCTAGCAGAAGAAGTATGCAGTTAACAGAGCTTACATCTCTGCCTGCATGCTCCAGAGGTTCTTCAGCTGTGTCCTGGGATGACACTTGACTTGATGGGTTTGTTGTGTTTCCTATGTCAGTTAACCTCACTGGTGTAACGCCGTGACTTTTTGTGGTATTGGCATGCTTTAGCGGGTGGTGAACTGAAAAGACTTTTCTTCTGGCTAGCAAGTAAGTTAACACTGCAATGTTAATACTATTTTATGGCAGGTTTACACGTTCTTCTCTTACATGGTATAGCTAAACCAGCTTAATCTCTGCATAAAGTAATTACCGAGGTGGCACTTTCCCTTTGGCTAGAAAAAGCTTTTTACCTCTCAATAACTTGTTGTAGTTAGAGTGCAAGATTTCAAAACACAAGTTTTCAAAAAGGAGACTGTAAGGTGGTCGCATAGAAGCTGTAACTGTGAAGGTGAACTTACAGTTGTGTGAACAAATTGGTATTTTATGCAAGTGAGTAGCTGGATGTGCCACACCAGCTGAGTCCAGGCAATTTTAACCAATTCAGCATGGTCAAGCTCACGGCCTGTGGGCTGGATCCAGCCCCTTTGTGAGGTTTCTGCCTGACCCATCACCTTCTCGCTGCGGAAGACAGAGAACAGATGCTCCTTCAGCAAATGCAGCCTCCTCCACCTGCCCTCTCTAGGGAGATGAGTGGCAAGTCTGAAGGGGCATACGGAAGGGCAAACAAGCCCGTGAGGGTTGTCAGCACCTCCGCCTGGCTCCCACAGGTGCTGCCACTGGGCCAGCCGCGACACATACGTGTGCGCAACTGTATGCATTAGCCAGGCCTGCACGCTCATGCGTGTGTTTTTGTGTGCGTGAAAAGCTCGTTCCCCTCTTTGAAACAGAAGTCTGCTGTTACGTGGACAAAGCAAAATGTAAGGCTTTTGCTGTTGTTTATTGACTTACTACATAATCAGTATGTTGAAAATTATTTTTATTTTACTTTGAAAAGTACTTCTGCTAGACATTTCTTGTATTACTCTCTTCTTGGTTCTACGAACGTGTAGTAAACAGTGCAAAGCAAAGGGCAGTTGTATGCTTAGGAACGTAAGACATTTGGATGAAGAAATTCTGCAGAGCAGTATATTTACTTTGCATTTCTGAATGGTAGCAATTAAAATTCACAGCTGCTGGCTGTCCAGATGTTTCTTACATTACAACATTGTAATTTGCATTGGAATATATTGTGTTACTGCAGTAGCTGTAAAGTGGTCAGCTCTTAGTCTAAATGCTGTATATGGGCTCCAGTTGGGATGGTGAGCATATTTCCTGCTCATATCAGGTTCTTCTCCTTCCCACTGTTTCCCCGCTCTGTTAGCTTGACATGTTTGTATTTCTCAGATGAAGACTTTTATTCCTTGGCATTCAAATCAAGCAGGGGACATATTGGCAGGTCAGAACTGATGTATGGATGGTTTCTTGTAAGAGTGACACAGAAAAAAAGACCCAAATTTTGAATCAGAAGTTTCTCTCTCCCTTTGGCATTTTCAGGCAGCAAACATCCCTCTGGTGTCAGAGCTTGGCATTGATGATATCCATTTTGATGACTTCTCGCTTGATGTGGATGCCATGATTACTGCAGCCCTGCGGATGTTCATGGAACTTGGAATGGTTCAGAAATTTAAAATTGACTACGAGGTAACCATCTGCACTGCAGAGATGTCTGCTGCTTTTGTCTTGGCATCGCTCTGTCCATTTGTACGCTTTTAGTAGCCCTGATACAATTTGTACTTTTCATTTCAGACACTGTGTAGGTGGCTTTTGACAGTTAGGAAGAATTATCGAATGGTTTTGTATCACAACTGGAGGCATGCTTTCAACGTCTGCCAGCTAATGTTTGCCATGTTAACTGTAAGTATCCAGCTACAGACACAATCCCCTAAGAGCTTTTATTGCCACATTGCCTTACCTGTCTAAACATTTTCCAACATTTGATTTCTTTTCTAGTTATTATGATACTCATTCATTTCCAATAGAAATGCACACAAAATTATGTTATTCAACTTAAGGCAGCACATATTTGGCAAAACTTTATAGTGTTTTAGTGACAGTGATATCGCGGGCACATTAAAGTGACTGAAAACAGATGGTAGTCTTGGAGTGAGCTTGCTATTATAGATCTTGATCTTACAGAAATGTTTTCCTTTTGGAACTCTTTGATTTGACATTTATTTCAGACTCTTAAATTGTGAGGTACAAAACCAAGGAAGATTAGAATCCCAGAAGATACTGTTATGTTATTATGTTGATATTTATTACCTTCTTATCCAGCTTCATCTAAATAGTTGTAAAAGGTATTGCTTTAAAACATTTTAAGATTATCTTCCAACATGGTGATCTAAGTGAATCTTGTGTGTATATTGGACACTATAACACTTCTGCGTTTTCTTAACACGTATCTCCATCGGTACCTGTAACTCCTCTCAGCGTACAAGTAAATTCTTTTGAAAGTACCACTGTTCTTACTCACTCTCTCTCCCTACCCTACAGCAACCTCACTGCATGAAATAATCCATGTTTGGCTAGTTAATTCTTGTAAATGTATCAAAAAAAAGCTTGGTGGTCCTGGGTATTTAATAGTCTGGTTAATATGGCAAAAGAGAAGCAACACGTCTGTGTGCACACACCACTTTCCGCTGTACTTTACATTTTGGGTTTGCCTTATCTCCAGATAAAAGTAAGAATTCAAGTTTTTCCATTTTCTTTTAATGTTCAGTTTTAATGGCCGAGTCATCTATTGTGAATCTTTAAGTGGTCACATTAATAGCGTTTGTGCAAGTATTTATTTATTTGGGATATCATGTGCTTGTCCCCTAATTTTTAATCACTAAATGTTTATGTTCTCGTTGCTGGCCAGTCTCTGCGGCGTGGTTAACATCTGGACCCTGTCCGTAGAGGTGGAGACTCCACAGCATGTGCCATTCGCAGCCCAGGTTGGCGCCGAGTTAACTTGGGACAGTCTGTGGCCTGTTACCTGCTCAGAGGGCACAGCTGTCTTGTGCGTGGGTTCCCAGTTGTCCTGCTTTGTTTGGCCTTGTCTCTGTGCCACAACTGGGTGTGTCGGGTAAGAAAAAAACAGTGTGATGTCCTCTAGTAGGCAGATGTTGGTATAGTGCTGGGTCCATCCCAGCTATGTGGGTTTGTTTCTGTGACCATTTACGGAGGCGTAGCAAAGTTGTACCGTACGCCGTGAGACAAAGGAAATGGAGACGTTCAACAAGAGAGAAAGGTCACCTCTTTTTCTGGGCGTGAGGCTGTTCAGCTGAGCAGAATTAACGTTGTTTTAGCAGGCACTTTCTGACGCTCTCCAATGAAAACTCGTGATGTGTGAGCATCGGTCGTTTTTAAGGTTTTGTAAACGTGACATGTTTTTTCTTAAATTATAGAAAAATGAAAAGCTTTGTTCTCTGAGGAGTAAGGGCTAAGTCAGGCAGCGCCGTTCAGCTGGGAATGACTTTAATTTCTGCCAAACGCTGCCAGGGGGTGAGGAGCCCTCAAACCTCACCCGTGAGGACCTCTAGGTGGAGCTCCGAGGCCAGGTTTTGGGCAGGCAATTCTTTCGGTGGGAAATGCTCTCTCTCGCCGGGCATCTCCATCGAAGCTAGCGGTGACTACGTTGGCAGCCAGCAGGGAGAATGCAGATCCCTGCTGCTTCAACAGCCACCAGCAAGCCTGCGAGGCCTCAACCATAAACTGCTTTGACCGTGGTTCTCAAAGCGTAATTTCAGGATCCTTTTAGTAGTCAGCACGGGGATGCAACTGTCTGTGGGAGGTGTCTGTGGGGTTTTCAAGACAGGCTCATTTCATTGCCCACACTCCTGGTAATTAACCAAACAAGCAATTCCATGTGCAGGGCTGGACATGTGCGCCCACGGCACTGGACTCACCACGCATCCCACCCTGCTTTGCTGTGGCTCTGGCTGAGAATAGAATAAGTTCAGGTGTATTATCTGCTTGGGCTGCTCTCCCTTCCAGAGATAGGAAGACTGATCTTGTGAAAAAAGACACAAAAGAGAGAGTCAAGAAACTAGTAATAGCACAAGGCTTGCTCTTACTGCATTTGTCTTGGGGGAGCCATCCGAGTTAGTATGTGCCTTATTTTTTCACCTGCAAAAAGGGGAAAATCTTTTGACCATCAGAGAGGGGCTCTGATGGTTAAGAAGGCGCTGCTTTGTGCAGCTGTTGCACCCTATTCCTTATTTCTCCATGACAGTCGGCAATATTGACTGCGCCACAAATATAAATCAGCAGGTCTGTTTTAGGGCATTTTCAGGTAGGACTTAACCGTAGCATAATAATGTCTAATCTGTAATGTGGTAGCCTCTAATGGCCCAACCATGCTCCCACTGAACGCAGAAGGAAAATTCAGCTGGGTTGAACAAGCCAAACAACAGAAATCCAACAAAGCTTAAACCAGTTGTATCACTCCTGGGACAGCCTTCTGCATATCTAAGGTGTGTTCCTGTATCTCTAAGTATGTATTTTCTCTCTCCGGTTAGACACCGAACAATTATAAACCCAGTCCTGCGAGCCATACTTCTGTATTTCAGACTCACCCAAATATTCTGAGGACGACCACTGAAGCAAGACTGCTCCTACAAGTTAAGGATGTCACAAGAGCGTAAACCGCAGGATCAAGCCCAGGCTTCATTATCAATGCCTTTGCCTAAAACAATTCGCATTGATACTTATTTCAAAAAGTAAAAACGAACAAGTAAGCAATACAAAATTAAAATCCCATCTGGTGTGCTAATAACAAAACATATAAATGTGGAGCAAGGTATAATGAATGCAATTCATTTTCTCACATGAAAGAATGACCTCCATAACTCACTGGAGACGCCACCACTCATGAGTTATGGGTCATTCCTTTTCTGGTGAAAATAAATTTTACTGCACCGTCGTCTATAGCCATGTATTTTTTCTCTCTGTGTAAATTAAAAAAATGGGAAAATGTAATCCTCTGTTTTCTTGCATTATGTTCAAAGCAGATATCCCCTTACTGTAACATTGTTTTAAATTAATTTTTTTTATTAAGCAAAATATGCTATATTTCTTTCATACATCTAATGACAAGACTTTTGATTAAATAAAATGTTGCATTTATTTTTGAGATATTGCTACTGTTAATAAATTCCTTAATCAGCTTTCCTGCATTTGCAATACAGGTTGAATCCTTGAGTTTAATCAAAGCTTGTGTTATGCTAAAGAATATTTATTACAGCATCAATTTTATATTGTAAAACTTCTATTTTAGGTTGTTTTAACTTAGCCATGAATGTTTTCTCTAGACTGAAACTTGACACATGGCATGTTGTCAGTTACAAACCTATTTTTAATCCCTTTTTTTGAAAATAGGCCTCGATTATTATTTGTTATATAAGAGCAATGTTTAAAAAATAAAAAGAGAAAGCACTGGTTTTTAGAGAATTTCCTCTGCCTGGGTAGCTGTTACTGAAATTTAAAAAAAGCAGTGCCACTAGAAATCAAGAGAATCTCTTTTGTAATATTTAAGTTACTCTGTATACCAGTGGATTCTACACAAAAGGAATCTTTTTTCCTCATATTTGATCATCTTTTCTGAAATGTAAACTTTAAGCACAATTATAAAGCTTTTGCAGCAAGTCCTGCACTTCCTCAGTTCACACTGAAATGCATTCCTGAGCAGCTGGGGGAGCTTGGCTCCCTGTACTGCCTAAATATTAACTGTGGCCGCATTTTAGACTATGAAAACAGAGGCTATTTGGGTTTGAATGTGCATTTATTTAAGTAGAATTTGTGGTCTTCAGGGTGAATAGCAGAGTTTTCACGTGGTATTGCAGCAATTGACTGGCATTTCTGAGTGGGCTTAAGTTCCTACTAAGTAAGGATATCAAGTCCCACTGATATTCACTGTCTTTGTATCACTTAACCCTCTTCTTGCCAGTGGGTGAAATTATGCCCCATTGAAAATCAATGGAATTCAGGATTTCTTACACACTGTTAGTGTTCAGCTTTGGTTTGGTCCTCCAATATAAATGTATTTTATATTCCTTTTATATCATTTCCTTTCATGCTAACTAGATTTTGTGGCTAATTGAGGAGTGTCGTTGGAGACTGGCACTGTGGAAACACAAGTGTTAATGATTTTCCAGCTCAGCCAGTCATTTTTGCAGACAGTATGCCCTTATGCTTCTGAAGAGTTGAAGAACCAGGTTGTTTCTGTCATGGGTAAGATGCACGGCACCAGAGAGGTGGTGTCCCATGCAGGCTCCAGCACCTTCTCCAGACAGGATCTGTTCAGGGTGCTTGAGGTTAGCAGTAACAGTAGTAGTTCTTTTCTGACATAAGGCAGTTCAGGCAGGAAAACTGCTATGGCAAGTATCCACGAGGAGAACTATAGTGGCAAAAAAATGTTCCTAGGATCAGCTCCCCCATTCACATGGGTGTGTCTGGTCTGAGCTGCTCGTGGGGAATTTCAATACATCAGTTTTCAAAATTGTCTCCCAAATTCAGGTGGGTATCTGCAGCAGAAATAAGCCATTTGAGACGTTTGCTCTTTAAATCATGCCGCTTCATTTCATGTGTCCCAGATAACAAATCTCTTAATAGTTCGTAACAGTTCCATAGAGTATATTTTAGCTGGCTGCTTTTATAGGTCTTTTGATTTAGCATCTCAGCTATCTCTGGCAGTAGGGATTGACTAAGATGGTCACCTCAGGATTGAAGAAATCTGTCTAAGTACTTCTCTTAACAATAATTTCAAAATAGAACCAATTTTGTTTTGTATTTCTCTGATATGAAATTCCAGTTCCTGTCTTAGTGTGTAGTTATTGGTGTTTGTTTTCAGCTCTTTTTGCCTTTAGTGCCTTCTGGATAGTGGAGAAATGGCATGCTGGAAATGCAACAGAGAGATAATAACAGATCACTCCAAGGACGTTATCTATTCTGCTAACCATCTAACATACAGGAGGGAATATAATATGACAATAAAGCATTTATCTTCTCCTTACTGAAACGTTCATGGTATCAAAACAAAGTTGACTGTTGCTCGATGGACTAACATTACTTATCCCTTCTGCTACTGATAGTTACAGCTGCTATTTTTTTTCTGCTCTCAGACTGCAGGATTTCAGGAGATTCTGACTGAAATTGAAATTTTAGCTTTGATTGTGGGATGCTTATGTCACGACCTTGACCACAGGGGAACCAACAATGCCTTCCAAGCCAAGTAAGTTTTCTAATTCTTATTACTTTAATTTGTTTTTCTTCCACAGAAGAGCAAAAGGTGACCAGGATAAAGAATGAAGCATTAATTTCAGGCCTCCTAGGCCAAGGCCAACTGTTCTTATTCTTGTGTGTAGTGAGGGATTATCCATCTTTATCATTCTCTGTTCTTTTGGGTAATTGCTGGCTTGTCCTTTGTATCAGGCTGTTGATTGGGTTACCCCATGTGAACTGACACCACGTATTGAAATGTGGTGCCAAAACTTGATGTTCTTTTCAGGCCTGAGGTATTATTGATTCTGGTATTCAACCCAGGAAACACTGAAACTGTCTATCTGGGTTGTTCTCGCTGGCTGGAATGCATGATGTGAAGCAAAACCTTGTTCAACTATTCAGAAGAGAATAGTTAAAGCTGAGATCATGCTTTCACAAAACCTTTCACAGACGTATAGGCAATCATACATAAATTCCTAGCTTATGGAGTACGAAACCATTGCCATCATGCTGGAGCTCATATGTATCTCATCCGCAGCAGGTGGCTGGAGTAGTCGCCTCACCTGCGTACCATCAGTTGTGAAGCACACAGGTTCCCTGGTCTATAGAAATGTCTCTTCCCTGGCCTGCCCCACATGCCAGAGCACACAGAGCCTGTTTGGAGACATGCTGCAGTGGGCAGGGGTGGGCTGACCACCCCCTGAAATGGTCAGTACCCACCAGAACGTGAAGCTGGATCTCAAATGCAGATTCTTACCTCACCTATGTGAAATCTTACTCTCCAGACCGTTTTCAATTCTAAAAATGAATTTTATTCTATTCAAAGTGCTTAGGACCTGATTCAGCAGCCCTGACTTGCATATATTTTTGCTGTCCAGGCTGCTGCCCTCAGACACACTAGTGAGGTAGAAGCAGGTTTGTGGAAGGGTTGAGGTACTTCTTACTGTGGTGGTAAGGGGACTCCCTTGACCAAAGTCAAATTGTTTCCAAACTCTGTGTTCCCTGACAACTGGGGGGACAAGAGGAAACATACCCTGACAACATCCTGGCCAATCTGTGAAATAAAGCTGTCGGACACAGAGAGTCCTCCAAATCCCATGTTGTTTTCTCAATTCCCCGGGTCCTCTACAGTCAGAACGTGAGACCTTGAGGCTCTCTTACCCTGCAGATCCCAGCATGCATTTGCAACTTTGTTCTGCATTACTGCTAATCCTCCAGCGTGACAGGGAAGTGGTCAGATGGTTGTCCAAAGATATTTGAAAGACAGGGTGATGTTGTATTAGCCTATTTTGTCCTACCTTTTGCAAAAATACTCTGCTGCAATCTGCGTATGCACCGGCTGCTGCATTTCTGAGGGCGAGTTGCCTCAGTGAACATCACTCAAACTGATGTTTCTGATATTCGCTAAGCTGCCATTTCCTGAGCTATTGGTGTCGCTGTACAGTCTCAATGAAACAATGACACTGTCTGGATCTTCAATCACCATAGCAAGGAAAATCAATTGCAGTGCTCAAAAGACAGAGCTCATGGTGCAAAGGTTACCAAGCACTGCTAGATGCCTTTTTGCAGCTGAATCTTGAAGAGAATCAAAAAAGACGAGACAAATGGGAAGGAACCTCAGCTGATTGATGTTTATGTTCCTAATTTACAAAAATGAGACCCAAGATTTACATCCTGACTGGTTTAGGCTCTGATTAAGTTAACCACTTCTCCACTGTAACATCACACAGCACTGTCTCTTGTGCAGAGGGATGGCTGAGTTAAAGGTAGAGGTTTCAGCATTAGACTGCTATCACTTATACTTGTTGTTTGATAACAGAGTACAGAGGAGGCTACCATTTTATGACTCCATAAAGAAATTGCTGAAGACATTCAACAAAAGCCAAACATTACCACACATGTATAAAACACCCCTGAAAACAGAAGCTGTAGTTTTCATAACAGCAGCTATGATTTATTCCTCTAACCTAACTTATAAATTTAAGCATCACATTTTCCTATTTTATCTTCAGTGTTCAACACTGCTGTTCTGTGTGATGGAAGTTCAAGAGGTATATGATGGAGGCAATATCACAGTTGGCTGAAATGGCTCTGTTATATTTCTCAGCATCACATTCTCTAGGGATGATGTTTCCTGGACATCCTTCTCTCAAATATAGCCGTTTCTGATAATTAAATATCAGTATGGTGCAGTTTTATAGTATATGCTCCTAGGAGACTCTTTCTGTTTGTCTCTAGCATAATCTCTGATTCTCATTTCTTTGGAAAGAAAACCCATCTTGTCGCTTTAGCCTGAGTCCCAGAAGTGAAGTAATGGTGAACAGTAACTATTCTGACAATCCAGACCCGTTCTCTGCACCTCCCAACAATTCGCAATTTTGTAATTGTATTCCATAGATTTTTGTTCTTTAAACTTAGAAAACCCACCTGCTCTGTGCATTTTGAAGCTAATTTTGTTTTAGACAATAAACATGATGAGAAAATACATTCTAAAGAGATGATAAACTTTACTTCTATATTCACTGCTCTCACTTGTGGTTTTTTGTTTATCTTAGTATGTTTTTAAGTGCATGGTTTTACATATAGACAGAACCTCACTGCATTTGCAGTTGTTTTTTTGTTGTGTTTTGGGGTTTTTTTTTAAAGAGTTTTTAATCACCCATTGTAAGCCACTGCGGTGATATCTATTAAGAATTAAAAACAAAAAGTAGTAGCAGAGCAGCCAGTCCTAGCTCAAGGATGTTACTGTTTGTCTTTACTGCACAGTGGTGCACCCATGCTCTTGCATCCCTGAGGTACTTTGAAAGTTGCATTACAAAATTCTATGTAGTTCCAGGAAAATCTTTAGTCAGATGATTATATTTAGCAAGGTCTGGAACATAAATGCCTTGTATCTGGCTTTAAATTAGTATTTTGATCTTGTCAACTGTCTCAAGTGTGGTTGCTGAAATGGAGAGGGAGAGTGTGGCTACATGCTTTCGTTACTAAATTGTCTCTGAAACTGCTTCGTAAGCAGACGAGCAGTATTTGTTGACTCCCTGTGTTCTGTTTCAGGAGCGGATCAGCCTTAGCTCAGCTCTACGGCACCTCTGCTACCTTGGAGCACCACCATTTCAATCATGCTGTCATGATTCTCCAAAGTGAGGTACAAAAGCATTACTATTAATCTCACTGTAAGCTGTTGGGCAGTTTCAGCCAGAGAGAGGAAATACCACACACAGTACCTTTTTAATGCCCTCTCCTTGAGGAATTATTTATTGGTTACCACAAAGGTCACAACTAGCACAAAATTAAACAACTACAAATGCTGATCATAGAGCCCAGAGATTATATTTGTCTCAATCAGCTAGGGGCAAGGAGAACATATCCTAATCATATTGTCAGCTTTTCTCAGTCTTCTTACATATATCCTGCTCAGTGGTTTATAGCTAGGCGAAACAAGCTCATACCTTTCCCCACAGGTGTTGTATTCAGAGTATCACAGTCATCCTTTACTGGACCAATTTAATTTCTTTGACAGTCTTTCTATAATCAGTATTTTTGTGATAGTTTTGCATAATTTTACTAAATTTTTTTTTAAAAGATTATTAGTAGTAATATCGTGCTGTCCAAAGTACATTAGCTGCTACAAAGTACACACACTGCTACATATAAAGACATAGTTCTTGCCTAGAATACTTATGTGCAACAGTATGCAGCATACAGTACCCCAGAGTAAGAAAAGTAGAAGGATGGACATGCAATCCTTACAAAACAGTGGATGTGTTTTCTTAATTTACACAGATAGGTTGTTACAAAATGCATTCAGTATATAAAACAAAAATGTTTTTCATGCAGCACTATTGGAGTTCATATGCTGATCTGCAGTAACTTTTGAAGAGTATCTGGGAACGTCCTGTGATCACAGACAAATGGGAACAGGGTGATGGCTTTACCTCTTGTATACAGTGCCACAGAGATTAGTCATGGGACTGTGGCTTTAGTGTTCAGTTTCTTGACAGTATATTAAAAAAATAAACGTAAGAAAGGAGAGCACCAGCTTGAGATTTAAACAACTCAATCTGCTTAGCCTTGCCTAGCTTATCTAAAAGGTGATACTAGGAATTAAATGACTCCTTATACTACCAGGGAAAGGCATAAGAAAAAGCAGCATTTGAAAGTTAAACAAACTGGTTCAGAATAGGAAAAAAGGATGGGGTTTTTGTTTTGTTTTGTTTTGTTTTTCTAAACCAATGAGACTGTTCAGCCCCTGGAACAAGCTTTCCTGGGAAACAGTGATTTCTCTAGTTCCTGAAATCTTCATCATGACTGAATGCCTCTCTGAAGACAGGCTCAAGACATGGACATGTCTGTGAAAGCTTATAGCTCATGTCAGTCTAGATGCTTCTCTTTATCTTTTCCAGCTTAAAAATAAAGAAATTTATGAAAAGCAATTAGTTTTTTCCCTTGGAATCTACTCCAGCTTCTTTCAGAAATGTAAAATATTGCTTGAAATGCAAGTCCTCCCCTTTGATCATTTAGGCAGCTTCTTCTCCAGGTCCTGATTTCTAGACCTGAAAATTAATCCTCCAGGATTTTTATCCAATAGATATTATTTGCTAATGGAACACAACACCCCTTAATTTGGAATAAATGCAGATTTGGATCCTCCAATCTACTTAAAGATACACCAACTTTCACTAGCTGAGCAGTTTGTCTCCTCTCTCAAATATGCTGACATTAGATTATATCCTGTCCACTAATGTTGATATTCTAGTCTGTCTTTGCTATCTAGAAGGAAACATAGTATGTTGTATTGTTTCTCTAGATTTTTATCATGTCAGACAAAGGAGCTATTTATACTTTACTCTTGACATGCTAACCTCAGTATAAGTGATCTTAAGCTTTGTAGTGATATAGTTTTATACACCATGAAACAGGTCAGAAAGGCAACAGGTATTACAGAATAACAGACAACTTGGTAAATTACCCTTGTTGAAAGAGCTGCTATTTTCCTGATACATTTTGCTTTATTTTCTTCTGAGTACTTTGGTTTTATAATTGGCTTTCATAAATAAGCTTTAGATTCTCAAATCCTTCTCAATATTTAGCTGAAAAGAAATAATAATTTCATTGTCACAGAGAAGACCATCTTCTATGCATGGCAAATTATTTTTTTAGTTCAACAATTAGCTGATCTATTAAAAAAATACCATCTCTACATCCAGACCTTATCTCGTCTATGTCCTCAGACCATCATGGTTATAGCAATCCTGTTGCTGGAGAATTCTTGTTTTTAAGGGCATTTTAATCTTCCTAAGCAGTAGATGGCAGTGCATACTGAACATGTGCATTACAGTGCCAAATACCACCAAGATAAGACTCTGTTTAGCAAGAACCTCATTATTTCTATAGGTGATTAGGGAAAAAAAAGAAAGTGTAGTACTTTTATTTATGTTAATTTAGTTATATGTGACTAATGTCACAAAGACCAATTCTTAAGCTTACATTTAGAATTTTCCATTACTTCTGTTTCTTTCAGCTTATCTTCTCTAGGATTTCATAGAGAAATTATAGGATCTCTGTCCCTCTTAGTTGTCAGAAATTCAGTTACAAAAGGACCTTCCTGGTCTCACATAGCAATATTAAATAATTTGTTTCCTTCCATTCTGGCCATGGAGCGTAAATTCTTAATCCATGACCCCTTAAAAAGTAGCCTGTTGGGTCTACAGAGGGCATTTAAGCTGCGTAAAGTTGCAGTTCTTTGGCCTGCGTAGGCAATGCTTTGTATATACTGTAAGACAACGCAGCAATGGGCAGAATGAGCAAATGGGCTGTTTTGAATGAAAAACTGATTTAGTGTCTTTGACTGCTCTAACAGCAGTTTGTGTGCCTGCAAGCAGCAGCACAGATAAATCTATTAGGAGTACAACTCAAAAGCTGCAATGCACAGCTCCCCAAAACATTTAATAAGAGGAAAGATTGAGATGTATCCATAGTTTTTGCCCATAAACTGAGTCTGTGCAGGGTCATAGCAAAGAGTAAATCTTTCCTCAAGAGGCTATAATTTCAGCAGAGTTTAGAAAAACATCCCAGGTGCTTGATTACAATCATCAACTCTTCCACCCCAATGTAATCTCAGCAGTATTAACATTATTATTTTGTTGTAGTTTTGCCATGAATCAGAAAAGGCCTCTGTTACAGGGAAACAGTAGACTAAAGAGTTAGAAAACCTTTTAAAAACCTGTATTGATTGCTAGCCCTTTACCTCTTTTATCTCTTTCATTATAGGGTCACAACATCTTTGCTAACTTGTCCTCTAAGGACTACAGTGACCTTATGCAGCTTCTAAAGCAATCGATATTGGCAACAGACCTCACTCTGTATTTTGAGTAAGTATTGGCATTTCTTGTATTTGACAAATGAAAATTCGAAGAACTTACTCTAATGACCTATTAAATACCAATAAGGATATATAATATGAGAAATTAGTGTTTAGCTGTGGTTGAAGAGATTTAGTTTAATACTTAGTATATCTTAGGCTAATAGAAATATCTCAAGTGTCCAAGTAAGTTGTGCTTTAATGTGTAACATGTCTGTATCAACAAAAAGCAAGTGAAATTCTAGACTTATACTTCAAAGCAATCCCAGGAATTAGTTACAGCTCAGTCCCATAATTCTTCTGTCCCTTCTGTGATCATTTCTTCAGGCATGTAGAAAATCAACGACATTCTGTAATTCTTTTCCACCATTTCAGAGTTTCTATACGTGTATGCTAAGAAATATTATATTTAGTTACAGACCCCATTGCAGAGGTAATGAAAGCATACACGTTGCTTCTTTGAAGACAAATCATGCCAATTTGCATCACATGAGAATATGTCTTAAAAAGCTTAACTTGAGAGAAGTATAATAGGATCTCTCTCATCCAGTTTTCTTCCTTTTCCTTGTTTGCAAATCAAATCTCTAAGTAGACTTCACGTTGGTGCTATTTTATGTTTTTCAAATACTGTTAATTATTACCAAGCTCTTCCCAGTAAGAACGTGTGGGAGCATGCGTGTAGTCGGAGGAGACGTGGTGTCACTGTCACATTGCACTTTTGACATCCCCCTGTCTGGCACATGCCTGTGGCCCACTTACAGGGAGAAATGCTGTCAGATGTGTAGTGTCAGCATACTACCTTCCCAGTCTTGACAATAATTTATCTTTAGGCATTTTTGTTTGATGTTCGTTAGCACCCTATCCCAAACAGTGCTGGGTAGCATTTAGTAACGTTTTTCTCAACTTTTAGGGGGGTACACCTAGATACCCCCACTTCTTTGTGCTGATAGTTGATACCAAACCAAGTTTCCAGAAAACTTCAGGCAAAGTCTTTACCCTGAAATTGTTCAACTATCTATATCAACATTGTATCTTTAACTGTTAATTGTCAAAATACTAACTGGGATGCTGCAATGTTAGCTTTATCTTTTTTTCCTCGGTATTTGGTCACTGTGGCGAAGGCTGTTTCTGAACAGTACCGGCAACAGACGCACTGATATTCTTTGTTTCCTGCAAGTCTCTTCTCAGAGGAGTGGTATTAAAAGACAGGGTTTTAATGAATAGTTTTATTATAAATAACTTCTGAATGTTAGCCCATGAAGAAATTTCTGCTTGGCGACATGAAAATCCTGAAACGGACACATAAGCCCTTTTAAGCATACTGTTTTTAAAGCCGTCTGTTAGGATCGCTTGTTGATCCCGGCCGGGATCCCGCAGCCCCTGGAAGAGCCAGAGGCTGTGCCCTGGCGAGGGTCTGCGGCGCTGCCTTGGGAGGGAACCCAGCCCAGACCCAGACGTGATGGAGCTTTCTTCCCGGCCTGCCTTAGGTTGTTTTCAACTACATGGTCAAGTTGTCTTTCTAGTTTTAATAAAGAGAAATAATGTCCAAAAAGGGACATCAGCGGAATTTCAAGATTATTCTTCCTTGCTTGCACAATTGATTTTTATGTGCTACACGAATCAGAAAACTTTTAGCAAACAAGGCCTCTTTACTCAGAAGTCTGCAAATAAGTTATCTTTTCCTCTTGCGTTATTATGATTCATGAATCAGGTGGTTGTTATGCTACTTTACTTCCAAAAGTGCCTCAAAATCACTCCGTGGAAATGTTGATGATTTACAATTCTTAAAGCCACCCTATGTGAAACAGGTGTTTCTGCACAAGTACCTAACCTGTTTTTTCAGTTTGCTACATATTCAATGTTTTTGTAGAGAAGGAAATTGTCATATCAGTATTCTTAGAATGCTTATACCTAATGATCACAAAGTCCAGTGAGCAAAACGGCAACAAAACTCCAGGCAGAGCAAGGCTTTATGATCTTCTCAAGGCACTACTTTTCGATAAACAAACACAAAGATTACTTTCAGTGAAAGATCAGATGGAAAATATACTTGATTTTAGTAGCTAACTCTAGATAATGATGCTTGTAGAAAATACAACAAGAAAAAGCATGAAACCAAACTGAAGTTTATGGAAATTCACTCAACGTCTTGAGTCACTGGGCTGTAGAGCAACTGGATTTGCTATATATAGCAAGACAACTTTCCCTTCCAGGCAAAACATAACCAGAGTCAATGTTACTCAAAGACATTGCAAAAGTGTTATCATTCTGTTTATTTTTTAAATCCTGGCATATTATGTTTGCTTAACAATAGCAAACCTCTTTGTTTTGGATACCATGCATAAGCAACCAGTAGGAAACACTAAATTGTTTCCTTATACATGGCTGCTTTCCTCAGGTTGACTCCTTCCTACACTAGAAATTCTCTGTGGAGTTGGACTACTACTTCTGCATCCATTTAAATGGATTTTCAAAGAAAATTCTTATTTTAAAGTTTTCAGCTTAACATTAAGGCCTCGAGACTCAAGTTTTCAGTTACTGTTTATGGATCGCTGTATTCTGAATTTGAACGTTTGGGGTTTCTGGGATGTCATCTTCCTAAGCTTTCAGCTTTAAAAATTCTTGCCTGGTTTTTGTCCAGTAACATATGAATTGCCCAGAATATCCAATACTTCAAAACGATATCATTACCAGATTTTACAGTGTTAGGCTGGGCACTGAAATACAGGATGCAAAAATCCACTGCTCGCTCTCTGCTCGGGATTAGGCTGGTTTAAGGTTTATGTGCCAACTACTCTTGGCCATTAAAATTTTCATTATTGCAATATTTATTTCCGCTGGGGCTATGATGCTATGACTTTGTGTGAGAGAACTGGATTTTGTTTTCTGCATGTGTGACTTTGCATTGTCCCAGCAAATTTTGTAATGTGAAACTCTCATACCTTACTTCAAGAAACATAAGGGATTAGATATCATCACATAGTCCTTATAGCTCCCTGTTCTAGTTGCTGTCATGAAATCCATTATAGAAAGGCCCTGTAATAGGAGTGACTGGTCATGTAACACATGACAGTCAGGGACCTTCTAGAATAATGCAACATGCCCCACGTAAAATTCTGTCCATTGATCAGGAGCAACGTTGCTGGAAGTGTACATCTCCTTGTGTGTAAAACCTGTACTAGCTGCCATCAGACTGTGCTTTCAGTAATCATGGTTCAAAATTTCAGTCTAGCTGAAGTAAATGTAGAAAATACAAGACTTTGCAAACTCTCCCCTGTTGAGGAACCTAACTACATTTCCACTTGACAAAGAGATAGCACAGTCTCCTATGAGATGGGACACTGGACTGTCACTCAGAACATAGGCATTTGCTTTCTAGCTTTGATGCTAGTAAGTTGTGTCACTCTGGGCAAGTTGTTCCATATTTTTGTACCTCAACTTCTGCTATATCTGGGACAGTATCTGTTTCATGTTGTAGTCACACTGCATGCAATAAGAGCCACTTGGAGTCTCAGTGCCATAAAAAATTACAGACTATGATGAGTCAGAATTTTGGTACATAAAGGCACCAAACAAGCATTAACATGTTCTGGCTCATATTTTGTCCATCTTTGAGGACATAGGCAAGATATTCCAAGAGAAAAAGCATGAGACCAAGCAGGGAGACCTAGTTTCTAGCCAATAAGAACTACTAACTCGAGACATCTGCAGCTCCTGTGTCTCACTGTTCTGTTTGGTGTGCTGGAAATAACAGGAATTGCACATCTCTGAAAAACCCTTCAGGATCCAGACGTAAAAATCATTTTGCAAGGACAAGTAAAGAGAAGTGTGTATATATTTCAGGGGTGTTTCTATTGTCTGTCTGTCCACTGCTATAGTTGAACATTTCATGCTTCCATGGACGACTGAACATTTTGGTACCATTTATTTCCTTATCTGCAGAGACCATAAATACAATATTGCTTTTACTAGGCAACTCTGACACTGATAACAGACATTTATAGAACATGTTCAGAAATTAGTATGTTTCGCTTAAATGGACTGTCAGTGTAATGACTTTAACAATAATACATGAGGTGCAATGATTTCGTATCATCCAGAGAACTGTGTTTCTACTGCAATGCTGCCCTGGAAGAGTCTTGCTTGTTTCCTTCTCTGATAATCTGTTTTGTTGCAGGAGAAGGACCGAGTTTTTTGAACTTGTCAGTAAAGGTGGTTATGATTGGAATATAAAAAACCACCGAGAAATATTTCGGTGAGCACAACTATTTCTTGCTTTCTGGTTATTTCAAAGTGTAGCCATATTTGTTTAAGGAATTTTATATATCATGGTTGAAGACTTCGAGTAGCAAGAGAAGGTAGCTTGTTTTAAAAATATGATCCATGATACGAAATATGTGGTATGATTTCTCAACATTACCATACAGCAGGCATGTAATCAGTGTGACCTCACCTCCTCCCTTCCTGTTTCTGCCTTCACACTCTGTCATGTTTTCTTCCCTTTCTCCCAGCCTCACCAGTCATACCAGTTACCGCTCAGCCCTTCCGCTCTTTCTCCAGAAAGCATCAACATTCTGCCTCAGGACACAAAGATCTTTCTTGTCCATTTCCCATTCCCTCCTCCTCTCAGCTGTTTTCTTTCACTGGCCATGCTTCTCCCTGCTCTTCTAGTCTGTACCTGGGAATCTGCAGACACGGTACTCTTCTAGCCCTCAGAATGATCTGAGCTTGCATGCTATTGAAAACCTCAGACATTGTGGGTGGTTTGAGTACACCATGCTTTTGAGACAATAAAATGTGTGCATTTGCATATGCATGCCTGATTATGTCTCGTTTTATCTGAAATTTCATTAAAATTCTGTTTCCTTTTGGTCTTTTGACCAAAATATTCCCATTTTCTATTTTCCATGTCATTTCACCCATTCCTAATTTTAGATTCAGGCAATATATTTGATGCTTCATTTTCAGTGCCCTTGTTCTTCATTTAAACTTTCTTAGACTTTTATCTGCATCATGTACTGTACATAAACGCTTTCTACAGCTGAATGGTTTCTTTCTCCTAATGCATATAAAACATGGTTGTAGCTAGGTATTAAACTACAGTGGAACAGTATAGCGCATAGTAAATCTTAAATTTTTATTGTAGATGAGCAGTAGAAACTGCTTAAACAGTGTCTGGGATGCCTCCTGTGATTATAGGTTCTCTTGCTACAGCAGTCACTTACAAATAGGCATATAAATTAATCCAGTTTGCAGGTGTTATTATGTAATAATACCATTACTTATATCATGTGAAGCACATGCTTTCTAGTATATTATAGGTATTAACGTAAGTAGTGTTAGAAGTATTGCAAAATTAGCAGTTACTCCCTTGCAATATCATTTCTTTTCTAGTGTACAATGCACAATACCAAAATTCATCGTCTGATGACCTGCAACACATTAGGCTTCCTAGGCACAATTGTGATGTAAAAGCCATGCTGATGGCTGAGATTTCAAACATGTCATTCTTTTCGGGAGGAAAAGAAGGTGCCAGGGCTGACATTTTATATATGTTTTATTTATTTATGCATCCAGAGCAGAGTTGTTTAGAAATCCAACAAAGGTTGATTCAGCTTGTATTGTTCATTTCTGTTTTTCAGATCAATGCTAATGACAGCCTGTGACCTTGGAGCTGTGACCAAACCGTGGGAGATTTCAAGACAGGCAAGTCATGATTAATAGCAGGGCTGGGAGGAGGCGGGACTGGCAGGGCAATATTCCCAGGGCCCTGGCTTACAAGGGACCAAAACTGGAATCAATTTACAGCAGTATTAATGCTATAAAAAAATAGCAGGGGGTTTCTGCGAGAAGTGGTTTATTGCATAATCTTTCCATGTACACATGCTGGTGAGCAGCATGTAGGTACCTGAAGAGATCTGGCTTTACAACCTCTCTTCTTATTAACCTTTTAAATTCATATCAAAAAACAGATGGATTAAAGAAATAAGCGTTAGTCACATATAGCTGCGCTTATTTGTTTTGTCCCAAAGTTTTACTTGGCAGTGTGGCAGAGTTCTCCCCTAAATCAAAAATACCAGCAGATGATCTGCAAACTTTGATTAACATAAAATGGTAAGAGAAATGTGTTACTTTTCTCAACACTGATGGAAAAAAATGCAAGTGTAGTATAGAGCCTTTTTTAGCATCCTGTGCTTAGAAACAAACAAATAAAAATTCAGGCTTCTGCTGCTGAGTAGGCTCTTAGAAATATACATAAAACTTGGGTCCAGCATTGGCAAACAATTACAGCATGAGAAAGCAACATGTCCTGAAGTTTTGTCCTTTACCACGTGATTTTCCCTCTTTTAGACATCTTTCCTTACTCAGCATCCATCCCTAATATTTCCTGTACCCATGCTAATAATTCTCTGTCCTTTCCTGTGGTCCAGAACAAGCCAGTAGAAGGTAGGCTGTGTAGGGTTTTGGTGGAATATACAGCAGCAGGAAGTGAATAGAAAACATGCCAGTGCAGCTGAGTGTGGCTAAGAACCTGGAGGGAGTTTGATTGACTTAACAGCACAGTGATAGTTAAAAAGATGGGGTGAAAAAGAGAAGCTAGATCAGAGAACTAGTGAGGCAGGAGCAGCCAGTTTTCTTGGAGGACAAGGAAGCAACAGAAGCTGAAAGGGTCTTGCCCTCCTTTGTGGTAGTACAAAAGTTACATGCACTCAGTAAAAAGGCATTTATGTGGTGAGGGCTTCAGCTCACCTTGCAATTTTGTCAGATCAGTCTTTTTTGCTTTTAGAAGCAGACTATGACAACAGTCCTTCTACGGCTGTTACTCTGCTCGGCCAAAATATGGTCACCTCATGTGGAAATCAGGGAAGTTCGTATCCTGCAGTGGGAAAATGAGTCACAAGACTTTTCAGTGCCACCTAGCCACAGCTGCAGTGTGTGCAATCCCTCCTCATTTTTCCTCTTTGACCCACTTAGCTTCTCCATTTTCTTTGACAGCCAAAATGTCAGGTAGGATCTGTTTTCCATGTTGTCAGTCTTTGTGCTATGGTGCTGAATTAGTGCTGAAGTCCCCGGAAAACTGGTTTTTTATCCTTATCGCTTTCAGGGTCTGCAAGTGAAAATTCCCCTGCAGCTTAGTGTACAAGTTTACTTTATATTGAAAAATCCAGTCTGGGATTGATTGAAACTACCTGGTTGAGCAGAGAGGCTAATAAGTCCACAGAGGGAGAAGAGGAAATAGTTGGACCTCAACTGTGCCAAAAAGAAAAAAAAAACATGAAAAGGGAGGGAGAAAGAGATTAAACTATATGAATCAAAGGGAATAAAGGCTACATATGAGAAGGCAAAATTCAGGAAGAGAAGATAGACAAAAGAAGAGGGAAGGGGACACAAGGAGAACAGGATCAGAACACCGGTGAGAGACAGGGGTGAGACTATGTCTTGATCATTTTTATACAATACACTTGGCAAACCCTTAATTGCTGCTAAGTTGTTAAATTATTCCTCTCTCTCGAGTATTGATCCAGAATTTTATTAGTGCACTGGGATTACATACATTATAAAGTTCCAAACTATGTGATAGCCTGACTCAAGATTTAGGAGTACTTTATAACATCACTTCACCTACTTCCAATTTATTTTGGTACTCCTTATTTCAACTGTAACAAGCTTAGGATTTGTGAATGTTAGCTACCGTGCAGTTGCTAGACCAAGAAATTTTGAGATTTTATGAAGTGCAGGTTCTCTCCTTAGTTCACCCTCTTGTGCCTTGGCATTATGAAATAATTTCCTAGCTTGACAACACTTGAAAACAATTAGGAGGCATGACAGGAGCTTTAGGAACTGAATGCCATCATCAGTAGATTAGTTTCCTTTTTTTGCATCTCAAATGTCACATGTGCCTACCTTCTAAGCCCCACACATGAGAAGAGTACAGTACATAAAGGCTACCATTCAGGATTGCTCACTGTTTGACTTCCTAAAATTCCTGTTGTTTCCATAACTAATTTTGTTTTTAAATCTTGTGTTCTTCTGCAAAACACAAACCTCTGCTGAATAGAACATCTTCATTCACAAAAATCAGAAAGATGCATTCCAACTTCCAACCCACCAGTTCTTGATTTTTATTCAATATGATAATCACGATCTGAGTTCATATTTGGATATTCAGATCCTATAGTGATGACAGTCATGGGAAAAAACTAAAGCATACTGGGGAAAAACCTTTATGATTTCACATTAAACTAAGATGACAGAGGTTAATTAAGTTTCTTTGACAAGTGAAGTTGTTTGTATAGGGCAACAGCCTGTAAACACCCAGAGAGTTCCTGCACATTTTACAAAGCATTTTTACAGACTTAATTGTGCATGCCAACAAAAAAGCTATAATTTTCTATTCTGTTCTCAATACTTGAGTAAGTTGCATATAGCTGTATTGAGTGCTACCTCAACATTGCAATGTAATTCCCCCAGTCAATTCCCTATCAAAAAGGGATAAGTGTGTCTATCAGTGGTTATGGCTATTCATACCTCCTGTAAGCCCAGTCCTGAAAACTATACGAACGTGTGCCTGACATCACTCATGTAAGTGGGGCTATTCACTTCTTACAGTTAAACACAGCCTGAAGTCATGGTCTGAGCAAGAACTCATTACCCTAAAAATCATGTAGCAAGAACTCTAATCCTTATCATGATTTATGTTTTAGGCAGCTGAGCTGGTAACCAGTGAGTTCTTTGAACAAGGAGACAGAGAAAGATCTGAACTCAAACTCACCCCTTCAGTAAGTTTTTATCACTTCTGAAATAGTGACTAACTTGAATAGGGTAAGAAAATATTGGGTTTATTCAGAAAAAACTAACTGTATTTTGTATGTAAAGAAAAATCTTGGAATAAAAGCTCTGTACAATAAGGACATGGATTTAGAGCCATATATAAAAGCTCTCCAGTCAACTCAGTCACTTTTGCATTGAGCCCTTCTCCCCATTTTCTGTAACTGTTCCCAAGGTTATTCTGTCAGTTAATTTTCTAAGCAACAGGTATTGTTTTTAATACACAGTATTCAAATAAAAAAATCACCAGCTACTTAGAAAATCAAAATTGTCCGATTTACTTTATGCTGCAGCTGTCTATCTGTGTTATTTGATGTATTAAATGCTGAAAAGCATTTCTATAGGTATACAACTAAATATAACACTGTGATTGAAAGGATAAATTGGTATTGAATGGAATATAGGCAGATGGGTATAAAGTGGCAAACAAGAACTAAGAAAAATGTTTCATAAAGATTTTCAGTGAACAATTGGAAGAGAAAGCCTTGTCCAGGTTAAATACCTCAAAATGTTGACAAGCCATTATCTGGAGGCAACAGGAGAAGGGTAACAGAAAGTATTCTAAAGAATTTAACTTGCAAGGCATTCACAAATACGCTTATGCTTCCAAAAATAAAAAGACCATTCCAGTGGCTCAGACTTGTTCCCACTTTGATAATACTCGCACATGAGCCTGTGGTGATGTAATGAAGTCAATAAAGTTAAAAAGTTTGTAGTAAACAATGCTCAGATACAATAAATGGCTTTTCACTTTGTATACTGTCAGAAGTTGGGATATTAATGGATTTCTTCCCTATAGTAGTTCTGTGTGTACATCTCAGAAAAAATGGTAGCTATAGTCCAGTAGAACAGTAATCAGTCAGACATGGTATTCACAATTCAGAGACCAAATCTAGGCTTGAATAACTGCAAGTACCATTCCATGTAATACAGATATAAGTGCCTTTCCTGCCTTATATATAAAATCTGCAAATGTGTTTCTCATGCTAATGAAGCATAATAGGAAGTAATTTTATTTCAACACATACATTAATGTTACTGTCTTCAAGTAGCAATGAATTCCAGTGCAAATGGCCCAGGTCCAGCAACCTTAAGAATTGTTTTAAGGTGCGTTATCACATCTACATTTTGAACATACTGTAGACTTGGTAGAAGTGCAGAGAAAGACAAAAGCCAGAGCTTTCTTCTGGATTCATGTTTTCTGGAAATCTGCATCCTACAGCCTAGACAGGTGGGAAAGAAGAGTGTATTGCCATAAATACCTTCAATATTTCCTCCATCACCAGAGCCCTCTCACTCTTCCTTTGGGCTCTACAGTCTGCACCAAGGAATACAGTAATTTTTGGGCCACATGTAGGATGCTTTGAATCCATACAGCTTGAAGGAAGATTTTCCTCTCTGTTTGGCCCTTCACAATTTCAAAGAATCCAGTAAACTGATATATTAAGTGTTTTACATTGGGAGATAAGGCCAGTACATAATCGCAAAGTCCTTCAGTTCTAACAGTTGATGGCTAAGGGTCACAATCATGTAGAGTTTTACCACATTAATGAGGAATTTTTAAACAAGATCAAATGCTGATGTATTTCATGACATATCGCTACGACAAGCCACCTAGATAGGTATTGCTGCTAGTTAGATAAGAGAGTTGTTAGTTGGCAAGACAATGTGATATTCTCTTATCTTACAACTCAAGGATTTTCTTCTTGTGTTGTACTTATAACAATCCGAAAATGACAGGATTTTTTTAAATTATTTGAATAGGAAATACAGAATTCTCCAAAATCAAACCCAAGATTCTCATTTAAGATCACAGAGTCCTTGAATCTTACCTCCTGGTCTTACTTGGATACACTGTGTGATACCTGTTTATGTCAGAATGAGCAGGCTACAACTAGAAGCATTCAACCAGGCATTTAATGTATTGTAATATGTATAGGGTGGAGTTTCTAGAAGGTACAGAAGGAAAGTAAGTTTTCTCAGGAGACATCAACCTAGAAGAGATGGGCCCAGAGGAAGAACAGACTTTCCACAGAAAAAGACAGAAAGATTTAAAACTTGGCATATTTGGAGAGTAAAAAAAAGGCATTTGGTAAATGGTATGAATGGGCCACTAGGAGGATTAAAATCTGGTAGACAGAAAGCTGGTGGACCCAGGTAATCTCAGGCAGGGTATGGAGGAAACTCAGCTCACATTCAACGTCTTCAGAACTCAGTTTCTTCCATCTCCTTTCAGCCAATAATTGAGCCTCTTAAACACCAGCTTTGACCTCTATAATTTCCTCTCTGGGGGAGCGCTGTGAGCAGTGAATTAGGCTGTTCCCAGACGAACAAATAGATAACTGCTCCCAAAATGGATCTGTTGATTCCCCACCCTTTGGATTCACAGACATGGCTGGTTCTGCAGAAAGAGTCTGTAACTGGGAGGAAGGGAGCCAGCCCAGATCCATAACTGTTCATTTTGCTGAGCTGGAAAACCCTATGTGAGAAAAGGGAAATTTCTGCTCAAGGTGTCTACTTTACATTTCTACAGGAGGTTTCATACCAGCTCAACTCCAACTGTGGAGCATTTATTTTACATCACAGAATTATAAAATTCAAATACATTCAGCCTACAAATTTCAAAACAGAATTGAAAATAAACAGTTTATATTTCATGCCAGACAAAGCAGTAGGGAGACTGCTGCATGGACTGATTATGGTTTACAAAGTGTTCTGGTTGTGTGAATTTGATCCTAGCTCTAAAGTGCTGGATGATGCATCTGTAAAATACTCCAGTGTAATAAAGCATGACAGTTTTGTTCCCTTCTCAATTCAGGCCATTTTTGATCGGAACAGGAAAGATGAACTACCCAGGTTGCAGCTCGAGTGGATTGATAGCATCTGCATGCCATTATATGAGGTAATTTTTACTTACTGCTCCTGTAGAGTCCAGAGAAGATTGTTCTTGCCTCTCTAGGGAAAAAGAGTTAGCTTACAGTGCAGTCTTGAAGGCTACTTGAACTCCTATCTTTCTTTGACTTTACCAAAAGTCTGAATTCTATGCAGAAATCTTCAGATTCCCTGAAGGTGGTAATATCTGTAAACATAATTCCTCTCTAAGTTATAAAAGCTGATAGGGCAACTCTTCGTTTTATTATGTTTGAGAGAAACTGATTCTCATCATAGCAAGGTGTGGAGTGCTCTGCAGAGAGGTGCCAGAGGGATGTCCTCGTTAGGTCCTGCTGTCAGACCTGTCCGAATGTGTGTGACCCAAAGGGAAGCTCAAGGCTGAGCCTTTGCACTCCCTTCTGGCTCCTTTCCAAACTGTTAAGGGGCACTCGAGGCCAAGCCTTTAAGGTCAGTGACAAATGATTTCTGGTTTAACCTGTGTGCTGTTTAACTTGGAGTTTACTCTTTTAATCACGTGTCTACAAAGACTGCATGGGTGACTGTGTGGGTGCTTGCTATTGCTATAAGGTGTATAAGCTCTCACGTACTACCTCATTAGGGCTATAGATGACCAGAATAATGCTCCTCTCTTTTTGGATTAAACCAGCTTCAGAATTTGACTTGGGTAATATAAGATTCACTATTGTAACTTTTTCTTCTATGTATAGAAAGCAGAGCTACACGAGCAGGATGATAAATGGAAAATAACACTATAGAGACTTAACCATCAATAACTGTGTCAGCCAGTTTTCCTCCTACTCACTGAAACCACACAGACTGCCTTATGCCACTGAAGACTCCCAGTTTGGCCATTGATAGCTGAGAAATGATGGGGATGTTCTCACTAGGCATATTTGGGGAACTGCAACAAGTTCCCCCTGTTACCACTGTACCCCAAACTGCCTCCCATCTCTGAGCAATGAATGAGTCGGTGATGACACAAAGCCAAGAGCTGGGAAGCAGGTACCAGCTGCCATGTTAACATTAAACTGTTGAACTTCTGCCTGAACGTAGCTTCCCCACACACCCACAATAAGGGATTAGCAGTTCCTTTCCATTTTACAGACCAGATGTGTCACCAATAGCAAACGAGGTAAGAAGGATGATGTGCTTCCCTTGCCCTCTGTACCTTGTGGCATCTGAGGCTGCCACTGCGGCAATAATGAAGTGACTGCCCAGCAGCAAAGACAACTCCTGTTGTGCAACATTGATGACATGCGCTTGTGTAAACAGTGAGGTGGGCTATTGCTTTGCCAGTAGATCCTGTCCCTTTCTTAGGTCAGTCTTTGTCATGATGAAATAAAGTAAATCTATGGCTTTCAAACAATTAAGGCAAAGCAAGCTCAGAAGAAGAACAACCACCTATATTTTTTTAAAATATCAAGATAATTTTGGACAATATGGGGCAGGGGGGAACTGACCTTAGATGAAAACTCTTTAAAAATAATGTTCCTTTCAGTGTAATAGTTCATATTACACTAGAATGCATATTATACCAGAATTCATGATTTGTAATAGCATCTGTATCCAAAAATGTACAATAAAGCACAAAGAGCTTATAATCATACCATCCTCTGCATGAGAAGACTACATCTGAGCACTAAAGCTCTGGTTAGTTAGCTCCATCTTAGCAGGAGATCTCTGGGGAATATATTCACATCTGATTTCCCTGCTTTCTGCTGTCTTTGCATCACGCTGTGCAGCTATTAGCCTGCTGCTCAACAACTTAAAAAAGAGACACCATCAAACCTGGAAGTCATTGCAGCACCAGCCTTAGGGGTAAACAGAAAACTTGATGTCATAGGATCACACTGCGGGAGATTCTCTCTTCAATGTGAAGCCAAGTTTTAATTTTCATATCCAGCTTAATCAAACCTCAATACACATATCACATCAGCAGCGTATTCAGGCATTGTAAATCCTCCTTTTAGGGCTGACTGAACACTACAACTATGTCCAAGTCCTAGATTTCTTTTTTTTTCTTTCCAAATACATTCTTTAAAATTCTATCCATTGTAATACATTGTAGGGACTGCATGTAGGGATAGAATGGGTTACATCATTACAAATGCAACATAAAGAGGCAGAATGGCAGCTGACAAATTAGTAAAATCTTAGCGGTACTTATATAGCTCACTAGCATAGTGCTTATAAAAACCATATGTTTGACATAAACATTTGACACTCATTGTGATACCAAAATTACAACATTAAACCATAGAGAACAAAATCAAGGCTTTTGCATGTAATTTTTTCCATGCTAGTGATTAGAAGTCCTGAGTCTGTGTGGGCAGATCCTAGCATCCAGAGCCCTGAAGGGAACTCTGTGGGGAATGCATGCGTCCATACCAACGCAGTTGCTACAGCAGGACCTAATGCTGTGCTCTGTTTTATTTGACACCCACACACAGTAGCGATGGTCCCAGCAACCAGTGAATGCTGGCAACTCCCATTAAAGTCAGACAAGAGATCAGCAGAGCCCCCTGAAATTTTCTTTGCTCAAAGTAGTTCCCAAGAGTAGGCTATTCTTGGCAGCTGTGGATGTCTGAAGTATGCAATACAGAAGGAACTTCACAGCCCAAACTTCCAGGAGAGGTCTGACACCACCCCAGTGCCACTGACAGCACTATAACAAACCATATCTTCTCCACAGTTGAAGCTTATGAGCTAAGCTACATACCAGAGTGCCCACGAGGAATGTTTCATATGTAAAACAATATATAAACTTTGCAGAGCATTTGAGAGTTATGGCCTTCCTGGCCTTGTTTTTTTTCTCCATTCTGAAACATTCTTTGCGACTTGTTCAGTTTTCTGGGGAGATTTGGCTCTACCTCCTCCTTATGCATCTGCTCTGCTCGCTGTATTTCCTTAAAGTAGCTCAAGACAACACACTTTCAGGTTCAGTTCTTCTCCCAAGTAAAGGATAACGAAGTCTCCTTTATTGGGGGATGTGTATCACGTCCCTCTGCTTACCTGGCTAGGACTGTTTTCTGAGTTTGGCCCCTTTTTGTGAGAAGGTTTACAAGTGACTAGCAAATCCTCAAGATCTGCACACTTTCGATTAGTAATCCTGTTTGACTGCCCATTGGAATGCCCGTCCAACCCAGAAGAAAAAGGTCAGAGATATACAAAACGTGCTACATCATAAACTGACGTGGAGCTTGAAGCGAAATATAGATATGATATATAATGATAGCTGGGGATATAAAAAAAAAAACCCAGGAATTATACACAGCTATATTTCCCATATCTAAGTGTCTACATCCAAAACCTTTTTGTGTTTGCTCTGTAAGCCTGACTCTGCTCTTGGCATCAGGTAAGCCATGGCTCTGCTCCCTTGCTCTCTCCCACATCTGCTGCTCAATGTGGGAATCAAGCCACCTCTAATTTCAAAATACCTTAGTAATCAAATCTGTTTCCTTCACACTGTGGATCAAAGGTTTGTGAAGATAAAAGCTTCCCAATTTTTTGTTCATTGCTTTTTATTACACTTGGGACATTATAATTTTATTGAATTTACTTTTTTGTTACTGCAGTGATCACTGATCAGAGTATTTTTATGTGACAGTGGAGTTTTTGCCTTGACTAGCAGAACAGCCATCCATTTATTGTGAAGCTCTGGTTTTAGGGGCTTTAGTTACGCTTTACTGCATCACATTTGCTCTTCATTCAAAAATGCCAGCAAGAAAAGAGTTCATCAGTAGAGATGAGAAGCAAGCTTATTAGAATAATTTATAAGGAAAAACATATTTTTTGGAACTGTAGAGCATTTCAAATCTACTAATGTAGCTTCAGTATGAAGTAATCGTCCCCTTTTTTTGGTGGGGAAGCACATACAACTAAAGCAGAAAATCTAAGACATCCCACTGAAAATAAAGCACTACGGCTACACTGATAGCTGTGTTCACCACACAGAGAAAGTATTCTGTACCTATTTGGACATACATGTTCATGTAACAGGAAACCGAATTTTGATCATTAAGACAAATTACCTCTCTGACCCTCCTGTAAAGAGATGTTAAGAGTTTCAACACTAACAGATTTCTCTCCGACTCTGTGGTTTGTGTGTCCCTAACACAGGATCAGTCACAGATTTTTCCCAACTCAGATTAGATTTCTCTGTGGGGAGCAGACAGAGTGGGAGAGTGAAGATCTTACTCTTTTTAATCATCATTTTTCTCACAAACAACATCAAAGCTTCAGCGATTCACACCAAACAAAAGATGCTAACAGAAGCCCAGCTCTGTTCACAGCATTGTTAGGCAGAGACAGTAACACTGTGAATAGCAGGGCCAAAGGCCATGCACTCTGCTTCTGGGCAGATAAATACATAGTCAGGTAGTCAGTGACAATGACAGCAGCTATTTAAATTTAAGGGAGATGTCTTTGTGGAAGATAAAGAAGCTCACGGCTTTTACAACTTATGCGTGCCTGAGATTGCCCTACTCACCTCTACCTTGGTGCTCCATTGAACTGCTCCATTTTAGTGCTATTTTTAGTGCTATTCACGATTTTCTTGGGTATTGAGAGCTTTTAACATATAATAGTATCTACAGAAGTGAATTTGCATTACTCCATCCAAGATTCTAGGGGGAATCTGGAAAGAGTAGAAACATTTATGTTTAGCCTAGCAAGTATTTTAAATGTTTTGAACGGAATGTGGAGGGACAGAGGCTTTCTTTATCACATTGTTTGAGGTACTTAGAAAGAAATCTAATCACTCTGCCCACAACTCCAAGAGCTCTGATATGCCTGTCTTCCTACAGAAGATAATGTCTGGCCTTGTAATTAAATCAGTCTTTAGAGTATGATGATGTAGCTGCAAAAGCATCTATTCTGCTTGTAAGCATACATTAAATGCACAGGGTATCATAAGTGGTAGAGTCTCTACAAAGCATAGAAAAAACACAGAAATCTCCAACCATTATGGCTACCTCTGTGCTTTAACTTCTCTGTTTCAAGAGTTGACTT